AAAAAAAAAAAAAAAGTAGATTCACACTGAATAGCTCAGAATGCCACTTGCCTTCCCGCATGGAATCACTTTTTCCTGCTTGGGTGATAAGTGGTGGGCATATTAGTGTGATCAAGGAGGATGAACCGACATTTTCTGTCTCTACAGACACAGTCCTTAGCACTGGGATGGCAATGTTAAAAAAGAAGAAATGGGGGGTGCCTTGCTAGCTCAGGCAGTACAGCATGCGACTCTTGACCTTGGGGTTGCGAGTTCAAGCCCTATGTTGGGCCTAGAGATTACTTAAAAATAAATACATACATACTTTAAGGAAATAAATTTTAGAAATCACTAGGAGACCTTGGGGGGAGTCAGTCTGATTTTTCATTTCCATCTCAAGCAGTAGTAGCACAGTTAGAATTCCTTTATCTCTGAGCCACTCTGTTGAGTATTTTCCAGGTTACTCTTGCTTCAGGAAACTTGGGTGGATATGGCCAGGAAAAATCGAGAGGAAATAGCTCCCCAGAATTCAGAAAGAGCTGATGCAGTAATTTCACTTCTAAGAATTTATTTTTAGGGAATAACTGATTGGTATACAAAGTATACACATGTGTATACACACACACACACACAGACACACATACTTCTTTATAAAAAATAAGCCTAGAAAGATACATATACCAAAATCTCAACAGTGGTTTTCTATGAGCAGTGGAATTATGAGTAATTTTTTTAAAAAATATTTTTACTTGTATTCTCTAATATTTCTATAATACATATGGATCTCGTGTAATAGAGAAAGGATTGAGCTATTTCCCAAAAGTTTTAAGTACTTACAAGTACTGGGAAAATAGCTATGCCAAACATGAAACTTTCTGAAGAAAACCAAGTAACAGATGATATAATTTCATACTCCAAACTAACCAACTGACTGCCTCTGTAAAAGAAACTTATTTTAAAAAAAATTACATGCCTTTTATTTTTTCTCAATAATTTACTCTTTCTCCACTCCATAATCATTTTAACACTTCCATGTCTACCTAGAGAAAGACAATTGATTAATACTTTGGATACTTACATAAGGCAAAAACTGTATACCTGCTTTCTTTAATACTGATGATTCTGTTTTAAAATTCCATCTACTTCTAACCCCTCTTACCCCAATGTCTAAAACCCTATGTCCAGAAGAGTAAAAATTAAGACAGACATCTCTTTCCCCCCCATAGCTGATATGAGCATAATACATTTATGAATATGTATCATGTATATTTATTTACAAGCATTTTTTATACAGTTATGCACATAACACACATAGAAAACAGTTTAGATAGAGGCTATCATCTTGACAATATGGTTACTAGTTTCAAGGCCTAGAAAATGCAGCTCATCATGTAAAAATATCTCACCACGAGAAATCAATAATTTTCAAAGCTGGTAAAATTCAATGTCAATTCAACTTTTTTTTTTTAAATGAGGTTATAGGTAGGTTGATAGGTTAGAGAAATACTTAAATTAATACTAACTGGAATGCTAGTAAGCTTACCTTACAGCTTTGAAAAACTCTGATTTCTTGTGTATTTCAGTGGTGAGCTGCATTTCCTGAGTCTCAGCCGATTTCCCAGCAGGAATTCCAGTCTGATGAAGAATCAGCAAAAGGAAGCCCTCACTGAGAGACACACTGGTATCATTCACTGAGTGGAGATAGTGAAAGAGTAACATATTTCTAAAGGCAATTTAGATTATTAGTCTATATACTTACATAATAAATACAGATTTAACTTCCCATGGCAGAAGCAACAATTAATTTCCCTTGAAAATCTGACTGCTTTTTCTATAAAGCATTTGGTTTTGCCCTATCTACCTGTTTGGAATGGTATTCATTTACCACAGTTCACCCCTTAACTGTCTCTTTATCATTGTTATCACCTCTCAAAGTTGTGAAAATCAAATCTGGAAATCTAATGTAATCTACCTAGCAATATTTTTGTTAAATGAAGTGAGCATTTAGTACTCTCAAGAAAAACATGTTTTCTTTTTTTTAAGTAGGCTCCATGCCCAACACGGGGCTTGAACTCACAACCCTGACATCATGAGTCTAATGCTCCACTGAGCCAGCTGGGTGCCCCAAGAAAAACATGTTTTCTAAAATGTCTTTAACATAGCAGTTTACAGGGATTCAATCGTTTGACTGACCTAGCAACTATGTCTTAGAAAGTAATGTAACTTTTCTTTTAAAATATCCTGAAATACATACTTTTCATTGATAATTCTGAATTGTAAGGCTTATTGTATTTATTGCTCTAGATAGTGCCATCAACACAGTACCATTAGCCACATGTACCTTTTTAAGTTTAAAATTCAGTTACCTAAAAAACTAAAATAAAATAAAACATTAAGTTCTTCAGTTGTACTAGCAACATTTTAAGTATGCAATAATCACTTGTGGCTGGTGGCTACTGTATTGGGCAGCACAGATCTAGAACACTTACATCATCAAAAAAATTCTATTGGATAGCACAGTTCTAAGTAAAGCATCTAAAGAGAGAGAGAGTTATTATAGTTAAAAGGGCTTACCTGGTCTGAGGAGGTGTGGGTGTGTAAAGGGGCTGGGCTGGCCTAAGTATCGGTTTGGAATTCTCCTCTCTGGGATGGGCTGGAGGGAGTACCTTCGCTGAGAACATGACAAGCATCCTGAAGGAAAAATAAAGTGAAATGGAACAATTATGCAGAAAGTCCTCACAGTATGTATACATTGATCTATCTCCAGCAGACAGATGCTCTAGAAAAATGCAAGTTAGGATCTCCTTCAATATTTTTATGGCCCTTCCTCTGTGCCAGTCAGGGCCTGTGTTGGGCCCTAGGAATACAAAAATGAGATAATTTTTACCCTTAGCAACCTCAGTCTACTGCAGTATAACAGAGGTACATACACATAGAGTATGAATAAGGAGCTATGGGAACAGAAGGAAGGCAACAAACAAAAGCAAGGAAGGGGTGAGGGTATTTCACAGAGGTAGTGTGAAGCTGTGTCCTATAATTCAGAAAAAGAGGGGCACCTGGGTGGCTCAGTCGTTAAGCGTCTGCCTTGGGCTCAGGTCATGATCCCAGGGTCCTGGGATCGAGCACCGCATCAGGCTCCCTGCTCGGCAGGAAGCCTGCTTCTCCCTCTCCCACTGCCCCTGCTTGTGTTTCCTCTCTTGCTGTCTCTCTCTGTGTCAAATAAATAAGTAAAATCTTTAAAAAAATAAAAATAAAAATAAAAAATAAAAAAAATAAAATTCAGAAAAAGAGAATTAACATTCTTATTGAGAATATGTGAAGTATGAGAAAATATGCACATGCTATCTCATTTAACCTTGGAAATGTTAGAGCTAGATTAAATCATGTCTGAAAAATGCTTAATCATGGTATACAACAAACACTGTTATTAGCATTCATTCAACAAGATTTAAACATGCGACTGGAACACATGCTAGAAAAAGACATAAGGAGGTCTTTGCTGTGGTCTTTAAAGAATATACAGTCTACTGGAGGTAAAACAAAACGACACTAACACTACATGGTGAACACCATGGTGGATTCATTCACAAGGTTTTTTTGAGAGCACAGAGACTAATACAATGTTGCGGGATGGGTACAAAAACAAAGATAGGCACACAGTGCTCTGGGGAACACAGAGAAGCACACAAAAGGTGTTGGTGTGGGACTGTAGAAGCAGGGGATGCCTACTCTGAATAAGAATTACTCAAGTGAAGGGCATCTGGCTGGCTTAGTTTTAAGTAAGAGCCCCATGTTGGGTGTAGAGATTACTTAAAGATAAAATCTTTTTAAAAAAATCAGTCAATTGAAAGAGAAATGGGTCTGGAAGGTGTTATGAATGAGATTATGAAAGGGAAGGCATAGAAGGCACTGTGTGTGGGCGGGGGGGGGGGGAAAGAGTTTCAGGTCAGTGTTGCTGGAGGAAGATGAAAAGATTAGAAAGGTAAGGATCAGACAGTGAAAGGCTTTCTTTGTATACCAAATTACAGAATTAGGATTTTAACTGCCATCATCATGGCTTTTTTACAAACAAGGAACTGGATTCAAAGAAGTAATTTGTGCCATGTTACACATTACTGGGGAAGCTGGAATTCAAACCTAGGGTTTTTTTGGTTGTTTTTATTTTAGATTTTATTTATTTGAGAGAGGGACAGAGTGCGCACCAGCAGTGGGAGGGGCTGAGGGAGAAGCAGACTCCCCACTGAGCAGGGAGCCCTATGCGGGGCTTGATCCCAGGACCCCGGGAACATGACCTGAGCTGAAGGCAGATGCTTAACTGACTGAGCCACCCAGGCCCCCCCAAAACCTAGGTTTATTAAACTCCAAAATCTTTGCTCTTATCCCTCCACCCTGTTGCTCAGTAGGTGTTCTCTGTTGATCCCAACAACACAGTCAGTACTATACAATATCCTCGTGAACATACAACCGCTACAACAGGAGGATGTGATGTCTGGATCAAGTTAAAGGTTTTTGTAGGGACTATGTAGTATGAATGAGGTGTATACATTTGGTGAGTTAGGAGTCTTAAATGTTAACTCTGAATTAAATTTACAGAGGATTACTGAAAAAAATTATAGCTTCTTGGATGATTAGAAAGACAAAATGGTAAAGGTTTCTGGGCAGTATGAAAATAGTTAAGGGCGCCTGGGTGGCTCAGTTGGTTAAGTGACTGCCTTCAGCTCAGGTCATGATCCCGGAGTCCCAGGATCGAGTCCCACATCAGGCTCCCGGCTCGGCGGGGGGTCTGCTTCTCCCTCTGACCCTCTTCCCTCTCGTGCTCTCATTCTCTCTCTCTCTCAAATAAATAAGTAAAATCTTAAAGAAAAAAAAAAGAAAATAGTTAAGAACAGTGAAAAATGAGAAAAAGGAAAAACAAGTATTTCCTGGAATCTAGCTTTAGAAAATGTACAGAATACATATTAGGAAATATGCCCAGTCTATATACATTGAAAGCTTAACAAAGATGAGGCAAGTGATTTACAGAAATACAGAGGACGGAGGAACTAGCTAGAGGACAACATAGGAACACAATCAACAAAGTCCTAACGTGGGAACACTACAGGACAAACAACTCTGTTTCTTCCACATAAATTTTATGGCAGGTAGGGGTGGTAAGAGATGGAAGGAGGAATCTGTAGATTAAAAAAAAATCTTGGGCGCCTGGGTGGCTCAGTTGGTTAAGCCGCTGCCTTCAGCTCAGGTCATGATCCTGGAGTCCCTGGGTCGAGTCCCGCATCGGGCTCCCTGCTCGGCGGGGAGCCTGCTTCTCCCTCTGACCCTCCCCCCTCTCATGTGCTCTCTCTCTCATTCTCTCTGTCTCAAATAAATAAATAAAATCTTTAAAAAAAAAAATCTTAAAAATTATTATCAATTATGTGAACCTTATATGGATCCTGATTCAAGCAACAAATTGTAAAACAAGTATCCACTCATACTGTTTATTACATTTATGAAAAAATTGGAAATTTGGATAATAATTGCATATTTGATGGTATTTGGGAAGTAATGTTTACTTCTTTAAGGTGTGATAATAGTGTTGTGGTTATGTTATTTTTAAAAATTATTTGTGAGTGGGGGGGGCGCATACAAGCAGGGGGAGCTGCAGAGAGGGAGAAACAGGCTCCCCACTGAACAGAAAGCCCCATGTGGGGCTCGATTCCAGGACCCCAGGATCATGACCTGAGCCAAAGGCAGATGCTTAACCGACTGAGCCACCAAGGCACCCCTGTGGTTATGTTAAAAAGGAAGAACCTTACCTTTTAGAGATATAAACTGAAATATTTACTGATGAACTGATACAATATGACATTTGTCTCAAAATAACACAGGAGTGGGGTGGATTGGGGAGAGGATGAAAAGGGTTTTGGATGAAAGACTGGCCATGAGTTGGTAACTGTTGAAGCTGGGTGATGGGTACATGGGAGTCCGTTATATATTTTGATATTTGGATATTTTCATAATAAGTAAAAAAAGATGAGTTTAGAGACAAATGAAGGAAATAAGTATGCACGCTGAAAGGCAATCTAAGACAAAGAGTTAAAGCTAGCAATGGTATAGTAGAAAAAAGTGCCAATTCTACGATCTATGTGATCTTGACATGTTACATAATTCCTTTACACTATTTCTTTACCTGTGAAATAATGCAGTTATAGATAGTGGATTTCAACCTTTTAAAACCAAGATCCACAGTAAGAAATATATTTTACATGGTAACCTAGTATACACAGACATATAAATATGATATATATAAAAATTTCACTAGGGGCGCCTGGGTGGCTCAGTCAGCTGAGTGTCTGACTCTTGATTTCAGCTCAGGTCGTGATCTCGGGGTCATGGGATGGAGCCCTGCGTCGAGCTCCATGCTTGGCGCGGAGTCTGTTTGTCCCCTCCCTCTGTTTCTCCCCGCACTCTCTCTCTCTCAAATACATACATAAAATCTTTAAGAAAAATTTCACTAAATATTATTCTTTCTATGACTGATATTTGTCTGCCCTATTCCATTAAAAAGTTTCTCAGTACACTACAATGATTTTATTACTGCAATTTCTTGAATGGTGGCCCCCAAAAGATATGTCCACGTCTTAATCCCCAGAACCTGTTAATTTACTTGGAAAAGGTATCTTTGCAGATGTAATTAAGGATCTTGAAATGAGGAGATCATTCTTTACCACCTGGGTAGGTCCTCAATTCAATGACAAGTGCTCTTATAAGAGAAATGCAGAGAGAGATTTCAGACAGACGAGAAAACAGAAGAGGAGGAAGTCATGGGACCATGGAGGCAGAGATTAGAGTGATGTGGCCACAAGCCAAAGAACACCTACAGCCACCAGAAGCTGAAGAGGTAAAGAACAGATTCTTTCCTAGAGCCTTTGGAAGGAATACAGCCCTGCTGACACCTGATTTCAGACCTCTGGCCTCCAGAGCTATGAGAGAATTCTATTATTTTAAGCCACCATGTTTGTGGTGATTTGCTATGGCAACCTCAGGAAACTAATACCATGACCTACTAAGATTACAACTTGCCACTGGAAAACACTGCACTAAAATGCTCTCTCTGTACTGAGGGAAGCTCTAGTTCAGAGGAGGAGGGAATGTGAGGATGCTCAATAATTTTTAAGAGCATAATGGGATCCTGAGAACAACCCCTGCCTCAACCAAACATCAGATTCCCTACGGTATTACTTGCAAACACCTGCAGAAATGACCTTCCCCAACGCATAGTAGCTTTTGGCCCACTTTGGTTTTTAGTTATTTGATCCTTGATATTTCTGTTTCTTGAAAGTACAGAAGGCACAAGGAGGAGATGATAATGGGTTGGGTTGTCCATGTACAAGACTGTGCTGGTGGAGTGACTGGGCTGGAGTGTTATGAAGAAAAGGAATGCAAAAAGAATTATGTGAGCTTTCTTCACCTGTAAGCAAACTTTTTTAAAAAAGATTTTATTTATTTGAGAGAGAGAGGGAGCGCACACACCAGCAGGCGGAGGGGCAGAGGGAGAGGGAGAAGCAGACTCCCCTGCTAAGCAGGGAACCAGACGCAGGTCTCGATCTCAGGCCCCTGGGATCATGACCTGAGCCGAAGGCAGACGCTTAACTGACTGAGCCACCCAGGCACCCCAACAAACT